ATTGGTGTTTACATTTGTTTTGTTCTAATCAACTTTTGCAAGCTTTTAAAGAAATGGAAACAGATCGAAAAGTGTGTAAGTATTGTTTTATGTTATAAATGTCATCAACTCCAATAAATAAACAAATATGACAAGTTTCAACTGTCACTCGACAACGAGTAATTTGATGTATCGCAGCGGCACCATCGGTAGTTGAACTCGCGAATTGTGTAAATTGTTTTGGTCGCAGAGCGCGTGTAAATATAAAAAATGGGTTTAGGTTTCGGTTCCGGTCCAGAATAAAAACAGTTTTGTTCCGGTTTTGAGTCCAACCAGAAATGAATGTTAAAGAAAAGTGCTTCTTTATGCTCATTGCTTCTGATCAGAAATCGGCAGTTTTCGATTCATTCGAATAAAAATGTGTTTTTTACTCATAAACCTGTTTTTTTTGCTAACGAGTAATTATTGGCTGCAGGTCTCAGGATCAAGTGTTGTCCCTCGGAGCCCCGTTTTGTTATCCAGTCAGTTTATACTCTTGCCCAAACACGCCCATGTACATTGATGCCGATTTATGTACATGTATAGTAAGTATGTTTTCATACTGCCTTTATTGTTGTTACTATTATTTTTTATTGTTTAAGTACTAACTCTTTATAGCGAATTTTACTAACAAATCGGGTTGTAATGTATGTTATCATTTATTTCGCTCTGATAGGGCACACTGACAAGCTCGTAGTTACAAGTGTAAAAAAGTACAAAGAAACAATCAAAGACTGTTTTTGTCTTTAGGACTTCAACAAGCCCCCAGCTGGGGCTTAGAATCGGCTTGTTACTGTGCCCTTGACTTGATGTTGGACTTTTTCTTTTAATTCGGGGGGCAACTGCTGAAAGTGGCGCGGCGTTGGACGGCTGTTTTCACTTACCACTTATAGACTCAATAGATTTGTTTCCGACACATTCTTAAGCGAGAAAATCGCGTGCAAAAAACCACTGTGGCAAAAAGACTGGCCAGCAAAATTCACTCCTGCCCAGTGGTCGTTGCATGCGCTTTAAGGGCCTACACCAGATCAATTTCCGCAAGGTTTCCTTTATACCTAAAGCATTTAATCTAGATTCAAGCCAACACCGTGGGTACTCTAC